AGAAGTCCTATCCTACGATGTAATGTGTACTTAGAAACACTCGAAGAGGTGAAAGCCTTATTGATCTGCTGCTACCGTTGTCCGCTGTCGCATGATCACCACATATAGTTGCACACACGAACTATATCCAGTACTGTTTTAGTACTACTAGAATCCTCAATGCATAGTGCATGGTACGGCTTCGGAGCCAACATTCAGGTAGTGGCCCCTGTCTGCATGGGCTAGCATTTCCTTCCTACTCTCTCCGTTTCTAAATATTTGTCTTTCTAAAGATTTCAACAAGTGACTATATACGGAGCAGAATGAGTGAATCTATACTCTAAAATATGTCTATATACATCCGTATATGATAGTCCATTTAAAATGTCTAGAAAGACAAATATTTAAAAACGGAGGGAGTACATGTGTGTGGGCTCACCGTGTTCCAGAGTGACCGTTCCACTACAAGCTTGTATATCTCCTTGCATGCTGCAGCTACTGTGCTTGTCTAAGTGGGTTTATATGTAACAGGATTCCGCCATCTTGCATTCATATGTGATACATTGACCTTTGAATATCATTCACATGTGTTGCATTTACCTTCTAATAATATTATAAGAGAACTTCAGGATATCCGTATTTAGCATGAACTGGGGATACCAATTGGTGTTTCCTCGAACAGACTGTACACACTACACGTCCGCATCATATATCATGTTGGCTCTATGATCATGCAAAGCAATATGACAATGAATATGTATGTCATGAAAAAGAAACGGTGGAAGTTGCATGGCAATATATCTCGGATGGCTATGAAAATATCATAGTAGGTAGGTATGATGGCTGTTTTGAGGAAGATATTAGGAGGTTTATGTGTGAAAGAGCGTATCATATCACGATGTTTGGATGCACCAGTGAAGTTTGCACCAACGCTAGCAGTGAGAAAGGGCATTGCACGGTATCGAAGAGGCTAGCAAATTGCGGAAAGATAGGAGTGCGTATAATCCATGGACTCACATTAGTCATAAAGAACTCACATACTTATTGTGAAAGCCTATTAGCCCTCGAAGCAAAGTACTACTCGCATGCCCCTAGGGAGGAGGCCTGTAGGAGTTGACCATTGCGTACCCCCGATTATAACAGCACAAAGGATTTCAATCAAACCTAAGAATGCTCGGACTTCCCCGTCATGCCATAACAAACACTTAGATGAGCAATTAATAACAAGCTTTAATACCTATATTTCTACTAACCAATGATCATGAACCTATACCCTTTCATATTATGACATCAATATTGTTAAACCATACATTTCATATTTAGTGATCTACATGAAAGATTTTATTATATCCCCCTTCAATACTTTATCATATCAGGACTAATTTCATAACCTGTACCTATTCCATTACTATATTTTAGACTCTCAAAAGATTTAAGTGAAGCATAAGAGTGCAAGTATTTCTTTTAAATATAATCACCGTCGTGCTCTAAAAGATATAAGTGAAGCACTAGAGAAACTGCCTAGCTCAAAAGATATAAGTGAAGCACATTGGTATTCTAACAAATCACGAATAAATGTGTGTCCCTCTCAAAAGGTGTGTGCAACAAATGCTGATTGTGGAAAACTAAAAAGCAAACAAAGCAAAATCTAATATGGCACAAGACGCTCAAAGCAAAACTCATATCATGTGATGAATAAAAATAGAGCTCCAAGTAGTACACCGATGGATTATAGACGAAAGAGGGGATGCCATTTGGGGCATCCCAAGCTTAGATGCTTGGGTCTTCCTTGAATATTACCTGGGGGTGCCTTGGGCATCCCCAAGCTTAGGGTATTGCCGCTTCTTATTCCTTCATCTATCGTGATCTCATCCAAAACTTGAAAACTTTAGTACACAAAACTCAACAGAAACCTAAGTATACAGAGCTAAATCATGAGGTTTCTGTTGAAAAGCCAAAAACAAGCAAAAAGATAGGAACTGGCACTGGGTAGTGGGTTAATAGGTTAGTCCCAAAAAATGATATAAAATAGCATATAAAGCATCCAAGATTGTTAATATAATAAATACATTGGAGATGTATCAGTTCCTAAGTATAAAGAACCAAATCATAGACTGGCCAGACACAAAGGTAATCGCCGCTTTTAAGAACAACATCCCGCGACAAAAGGCTCGCTCGAGAGCTCGGGCAAGAGAGATCCCGAACAATGGCGGTCGTCACCCATTTAATGACTAGATTATGCACGGGGGAGGATAACTAGATTACCCGCAACAATCGACTTCGGCGCATCACTCGCCCTATTACACCCAACACAAGTAACGCCGACGAGGAGACAATAAATGTCGCGACTGCAAATCAACGCAGAAGCAATAAACAAAAGCCTACTCAAATGGACAGAGAGGGTCCCTCCACGTTGGATCGGATATTGGATAGGCCATGCGCCATCCATAGTACCCTTGACAAGTCGACTACTCATTCTAATAGAAATTGCTAGGTGATCAAGCAGGCCGGCACGATAGTTGTCGAGCATCAGAATGGAGACCGAGGCCATAATAACAATAGAGGTCACTCCAGAGCAAGCATCATCGGCCAAAAAGGTTTCCTTCCGAGGTGAAGGATGTCAACATGCTATATCCTACTCACACTCAAAGGGGGCAAGTGCGGGTCACCCGCAGCCGCGTATCCAATCTGCCTCATCAAAGCAGAAGGTCGGATTTTCCGATCACACACGAACTATAATATGCCCGGAACAACCCTGTTACGTGGAGCAGGCCACATTAATACTTGATGCCATCGTGGATGGTTTTCCACTTAAACCGTGTGTTGATGGACCGCGGAAGCAGTTTTAACTTGCTCTATGCAGACAACATTAGAGAAATGCATATCAACCCTGCAAGGATAATACCAAGTGAAATGGTGATAAAAGGCTTCAGGCTAAGGGTTTGGACCCAAAGCATCGGAAACATCACGCTCGAGGTTGTATTTGGCATTCCTAAAAACTTTCAAGATAGCGCCCTTTCACAACCATCACCAAACATTCCTAGCCTGCTTTTGGTTGTTTCCACGCCCCCCCCCCCCAATATGGTAATCTAAACTTCAGATGGATGGACGTAATGGTATAATCACATTACATGGAAACAAGTCATTTTCACCTTTAAAGGAACAACAATCCACGACCTTAGTGACCGAGGTACAGGAAGCTGAGGAACAAGTAATCAAAGACGCGACAGGTAACAGGGCCATGTCAGGCAACCCTAGGAGCGCAACGTGCCTTGTCAACTCGGAGAACACCCAGGCGCACACCAGCGGCGCCCCTCAATAGGGGTATGCGCTCCGTTGTCCCCATAGCATGACCGAGGACTATGTTCCTCGGATGCACAACTTCGTGTTGAAAATACCATCGGGGATCACAGAGCACGTGCAAGACTAGAGAATGGGAGTGGTTCAGATCAACCGATGACTCATTCATAAATACATTGCCTTAGAAAATAACCCGGTTCAACCGGGGGCTGGGCAAGCAACCTCTAGCTCCCTTGGGATACATCTTCACCGAAGAACTTCCTTTCGAGACGTTTTCCGACCACGTGCTTTCGAGCAAAAACGGCTCAATCGAACGGATAAAGATGAAACCCTCTTCTGGCTTAGACGGAATAATAGGGAGGGGCATACATAAAGAGGCATAAAAAGAACGGTGATAAACGTCGACTTTGTTGTCTGGACCTCGACCCCACCTTCTCATTGCTCATTTTGTTATGTTTCTTGTGGCTGAATCTCTTTCATTCGGATTATATGGTTCAATCATCATTATGCATACAAATTTTTGGGGGGTGGGGGTGGGGGATTTGGGCCTCTCTTTTTTCCCTCTTTCTTTCGGTCCGAGCATAGCTACTAAGACATTACAATCCTTTTTTGGTATTAACAGAAATTAAAAAGGAGGTCCTACTTCGAATTCGACCCCTCACTATATCCGAGGTACTCCCTCTGCCCGAAAATACTTGTCATCAAAATGGATAAAAGGGGATGTATCTAGAAACTTCTAGATACATCCCCTTTTATCCATTTTGATGACAAGTATTTCCGGACGGAGGGAGTATCTTAGGATGCTCTTGGCCGCCAAGTTATCAGTATTTTTGCATTATATGCATTGATTTCGAGCTGTGTCATCTTTGGTCAAATGGGCCCTAGCGACACACGCGGAGGGGCGCCATGCCGTCTGCCGTCACACGACCCCCTGCTCGTGGATGAGCCGCCCCAGGATGCCATAGCCCCCCCTCCACGTCGGATCCATGCGGGCTTTGCCTAGCGAAGGCCATGTGACAACTCAGAGGGAATGGAAAACAGGGGAGGGAGGCCTAGCGCGCGGGCTAGGATGCGCCGCCTCCTAAGCCGCCCTGGGAGGAAAACACGGGGGCTCGGAAAAAAAAGTCTTCACTTCTCTTTTGTTGCAATTTTGATGTTGAACTTGACCACCTCGGCTAGGTTGCAAACATAATTTTCATCAACTAGTTAATATTATTTCTCACTGCTTAAGAACAAATTGTTATCACAACAATCTTTGAATTCTAATCACCTCTCATTCTTTAAACCAAACTCGGTGTCTCGCGAACAAACCTGTGGTTGGATGGTTAGAAGGACAGTGATATCCCGTGCGCACCAGAGTTCAAGTTTCAAACCTACATTGGTGCTCGTATTTTCCTGGATTTATTCCAGGCCTTCCGGCGATATGTGTTCATAGAAATGAGCGTATGTGCGTATGTATGAGCGTCTGTGTCACCGTGTTTAAAAAAATAATTCAAATTCGGTCTCCAAATCACGTGACATATTGCATCGGATAATTTGGTTTGTCACTTGTTTGACTTTGTGCCACCGTTGGCATCGTGCCTTTGCACCCACTATGAGCGTCAGTGTGTGACGACTTTTCATAGCGGTGCACCGAGTGTAGGCTACGCTTCCGCCGACCCACACGCGGGGCAGAGTGTCCGCAGACAGGAACACGCGCGCCTGCGCTGCCAGCCACCGCAATGGCGATGCCGCCGAAGCCCGGCGAGCCGCCCAAGCCCTCGCCGGGGCGCAGCCCCAGCCTCAACCCCAACCCCAGCCCCTGCCCGCTCCCGCCCATTCCCGGCGGCCCCCAGCCGGGCCAGCCCCCCGCGGCGGCGGCGCCGCCGCGGTCCCACCACCGCCGCGCCAGATCTGAGATGCCCTTCCGCTTCCCGGACGCCAACGGCGGGGGCTTCGACGAGATCGGCTCCGAGGACGACCTCTTCTCCACGTTCATGGACATGGACAAGATCGCCGGCTCCGGCCGCGACCGCGCCGCCGAGACGTCCTCCTCGCCGCCGCGCCCCACCAAGCACCGCCACAGCGCGTCCTTCGACGGGTTCGCCATGGGCTGCGGCGGGCCCGGGAGGCAGGATGGCGGCGGCGGGGTCGGAGGGGTGTTCGCCGACGTGCTGGAGGCTAAGAAGGCCATGTCCTCCGAGCAGCTGTCTGAGCTCGCCTCCGTCGACCCTAAGCGTGCCAAGAGGTGACCCGTCGCATCCTGAGGCTCCCTTGGATTTTTAGTTGGTGGTTGGTCGGTAGGATGCTAGGGTTACAAGTAGCTCTTACTTTTGATAAACAATTGACGGAGCGCCGGGAAGGACTAGCAAGAATTGTGGTCTAGGTAGGCGTGACTCGGAGTGATTCTGCAAGCAAAGATATGTGCCAGAAAAAGGGCACGTCCTAGTAGACTATTACGCAATCAAATCACGGCACATTTTTGGTGTTAGTGGTCTTGAATCCGGATAGTGACAGGCAGATCCTAGGACAGGATTTGCTGGCCAGCTTAATTAGGCATCACAGGGCTTCCTTCTGACGTTTCTCGCTTAATTAGGTATCACAGGACAAGCACCCATAGAAGTGGTTCAAATGCTAATTTTATTGTTCTTTAAGTTGCTGTCATTGTTCGAAAAGCGGCTCGGGCATTTAATTCTTAAATAAGCAAAGGGCATGGGATGAAAGGGGCGGGAGATGGCAACGAATGCCGCATGTCGCCTTCTTATGGTATTTTCTCTCCATTGGCTATGGCTTCTTTGTTATCATTTTCTATGGGTCTCCAACTTATTCAATAAAGCTTGTGTGGCATATCTTTGAATTTATAGTTCTTGTGTTTTGGATTAACCATTTCCTACTCTCACTTATATTATACATCAGTTAGTTTTCTCTCTTGATCTTTTTACAGTGATCTATCTATGCAATACCTAGTCATGTGTATTTGTGATATAGGGTTTTCCCTGTAGCAGTTGGTTACATTGTTTCCACGTCGCCGTGTAAATATTTTGTTTTTAAAACAAGTTTCTGTAATATAGGGTGATATTTGATGTAATAGTGTTATATAATTATTTGATGTGTTTTATTTCGTATGTTATTATCTTAGCCCAAAAGTCTTTTTAGCGCCATGTAGTTATTTAATAAGCTCTTAAATACACAAAGCACGTGGAGTGAAAGAGTCCGGAGATGGCGGTTTGTTGCATGTTGCTTAGGTCTGCACTCTTTTATGGTGTCGCCCCATTTTCAAGGCCTTTTTTTATTTCACCCGCTAATGATCTGCAAGATGTTCAATGAAGTTACTGACTTACTGTGATCGACTTTTTAATTTGTTCTTTATTTTGGAATAACTAGCTGAAATTTAAACATATCCCTGTTTCGTGTACATTAAACAGCATTGCATGTAATTTTTTTCGAGCAAATGTTTGTACTGCAATCAAGTTATATAAATACCTATATTTCTCGTGTAGGTTTCATTGACACAGCTTTCTAGTATCAGGCGATCTTGATTGCAATAGATAATACTGGTTATGAACTACTCCCTCCGTCCCATAATATAAGATGTTTTTGCAAGTTGTTTTAGCTTGCAAAAGCGTCTTATATTATAGGACGGAGGGAGTACTTTTTTTGCTTAGCCAATCAAATTTGTCCCAGCTGTGGAAAGCTGATGTATCAGAACTTCACATAGGATATCTTCCATATCGAAAAGAGAATATGTTTTTCTTTTAAGGCTATGCTGTATTTACAATCAGTCTGCCCATGTGAAAGTTTTTATCCAGCATACTGCGTTATCTGGCTGCATTGAATGATGGCCAATTTTATTAATGTGCTTTTTTTGTTTCAGAATTCTAGCGAACAGACAGTCTGCAGCTCGGTCAAAGGAAAGAAAGGCTCGATATATAACAGAATTAGAGCGGAAGGTTCATACTCTTCAGACCGAGGCTACTACTCTTTCGGCACAATTGACGCTATTTCAGGTAAACTTTCATCCATCTGTTTGCCTTATGGATTGCAGTATTATCATTACTATGTTCGTTAATGCGTTCTCAGCAGGGCCGTCTACAAAAATTTGGGGCCTCGGTGCGACATGCAATGGTTCCTAATTTCTTTTGTATAATTAAACTAATGCAACTAAGTGTACTCTCATTTAATTATGTAACTTAATTATGCTCTATTTCGTATAATATTTAGGATTAGAAATTATATTACAGGTAGTGTGCTGCATTAATCCTATAGTCAACTACATACCTAACTGAGTAGTACTACTGGGGATTGCATTGAAAAGAACCAGGAACAGAAAGATTATATAAAAAAGAAAGGGCTTATGGCTTCCCTTGGAATGTATCCTGGTCCTGGGGTGACTGTATGGCTGCTGTAGTTGCGAATCCGGCGGATCACGGCCGGAGACATGGCGGACTCGCGGTGGGCGACTGCAATCTATTGCCGTCTCACTGAAGCAGGCAAGGCGGCGACTCACTATTCTCGCTTGTGAAGTTGTGGAGGAACGCACGTTCGACCAGTGGGCTGTTGCGAGTAGGCCCAGCAGTGCCGCCTTATTTTCCTATTTGGTCTTTTACCAACAGGCCCGAAGGAGGAGTGGGGCACCATACTGAGCCGACTGGGGGCCTGCTGGCTGGGTATCGTACATGTCGGTGCCTCACCATAACATGTGTCCGCATCTGGCGCGTCCTTCTACAGTTTCCTCAGGTATATAAGCAGACGACCCAGGCAAAAAAAAAAAAGCCAGCCAGCCAGCACAGGAACTGGACGTCTTTTTCATTGTCTTTTCCTCTGGTTGGGGCCCTACGATTTTGGGGCCCTGTGCGATCGCGCAGGTCACACACCCTCATTGTCGGGCCTGGTTCTCAGTGCACAAAAGAAAACACATTAATCCCTAAATCATGACACCATGCATAGTAATTCTGCCTTCTAAACTGTACTGAGAAGCCAGCTGCATCCAACACATGGAAGTCGGTGTCAACCAAACTGCATCTGCTCTAGACTTAGTGAATCACCAGTTGCCATGATATTTTACTTGAACTGATGCACATGCTATCGAAGCTATAGCACATATAAGTTCTCTGGTTTTTTGTTGACAAATAAAGCATATGAAGTGTTAGTGCCAAACCACCTGAAGTGATTTTTGTATGTGGTTATATTAACAATATGAGGTCTGAAGGGTGATGTCCTGCACCATGAGGCAATAAAATGCTGTAACTCTGTTTACCAGAAATCCAGAACTGTTCGGTTCTGGTGTCCGCGATGTTTATGTTGTATGTATCAAGTTCTGACCGGGGCTGTGGGTTTTACATTTTAGCATGTTCTTTTGTATAGAAAGTGTTGTTTGCATAAATTTGCTGGATATCCTTATAAAGGAATAATATCTTGGTGGCAGAGAGATACAACAGGCCTTTCCGCAGAAAATACAGAGCTCAAGATTAGGTTGCAGGCCATGGAACAGCAAGCTCAACTGCGTGATGGTGAGATTTTTATTACCTTAACTAGTATAATCATGTCAACTCTTGATTTTCATTGTTTCGGACAATTTTGTACAGGAAGGTGCCTCATTGTTGCTCTGTAGATTGACATAGAATAAATAACTTTGTATCCAAGTATATAACTTGTGTTCTCTAATAGAGATAATATTCGGAAAAAGAATCTGAACAGAAATAACATATTTTTGCAGCTCTGAATAATACACTCAAGCAGGAACTGGAGAGGCTTAAGATTGCTACAGGTGAGATGACAAAGCCTGATGAAGCATATAATACGGGAATGCATCATGTCCCATACAACCCATCTTTCTTCCAGCTTTCCGAGCAACACACACCTCAGCACCATTCAAGTGTTCATCAGCTGCCATCCCAATTCCAGCCACCTCATCCCAATGTCCCAAGCCACCAGATGCTGTCCCATCCAAACACGTTCCCAGATATGATGCAGCAAGACTCGCTTGGGCGGTTCCAGGGGCTGGACATTGGCAAAGGATCAGTGGCTGTGAAGTTGGAGGCAGAGGCTGCTGCGAAGTCAGAGGGTAGCTCCATATCTGCAGGTGAAAGTAATAGCACCTTCTAATTATGGACCCACCTGCAAACAACACTCGTATCATTTAGATTTATATGTTCATAGTCTTACATCCTCAAACTGCTTTCCTCACCCCGCTAGGCATAATTTTTATCCAATTCTTTCTATTTATCTGGCGTTGTTTGATTGTAGGGACCTAGGTAGTTTGTTTGGGTTCATTTCCCATGTGTTGTCTGTTGTTTTGAAGTTAGGGGGACTGGTGATCAGCCTGTCTTCTTTGTTTACCTTGTAGACAATTAATCATGATTTTCCCATTTGGAATTTACGAATGTTTGGTTGGGACACTGTTAACACATTCGGTGTTGTAATGAGAATACCATGTATTAGATTGGGGTTTGAGCGATCACACGATGTGTTTGGTTCAAGCAAGGGAAGAGGAAAAGGTAGCCTACTGCCACCGGCCTTGTAGAAGACGCTGGATGACGGATGGCTGCCGGGGATGGCTTGCAACCAAAAAATGCAGCGCCATCCTCTCACGGCGGATGGAGATCCCTGCATCGCTGCTCACGGTGGAGGGAGATCACCGGCGTCATTGCCCATGGCGGAGAAGGGAGAGGGCTGGCCGCCGGCAAGCCGAGGGAGGCCAAGGAAGATCTCCGGCGCTGCTGAATGCTGCTCGTGCTGAAGAAAATATCTGACGAGCGGAGAATACAGAGGGGGGATCGATACCGGGCGAGAGGTGTTATTCCATACCAGTGCGTATGGGCAAAAGAAACGGGTTCTGAAACCAGCCCGACTCAAACAAATACACGTAACATAATCAGAAGACGGGAAAAAACCCGCCAACCAAACGTTACATTTTTCTGTTGACATGCTTTGCATCCTCGGAATCTACAAGCATCAAATTGTTGTAGAACTGTGGTGTTTCATACATCTGATCTTCTTAGAAAATGGTATACACACTTTTGATATGAAGACAATTTACACATGTCTACAACTATCTTTTACCAGCACAAGTACGGGTTGCTCATGGTTGATCGACGTTCATTCACAGAAAAAGAAGTCCTATCCTATGACGTTGGACGCGTTTGGTTCCGCTACGTAACGTATTGAGTTTTTGGGTATCGGGAAGCTCCCGCTTCCGATTGCATCTGCGGAATACGTGCACTGTTTGGTTGGTGTGGCCACGTCCTGGTTTTCAAATCAGGCTGTGTTGGAGCATTTTCGATTTTGTGAACCGGTGTATCGTAAAACGGTCCCACGGAAGACGGAGTGGTGGAAACAAACGCCGGGTACCGTTTTGGAAAGGGCGAGTAATAGGCGTCGGTGCGCCGGCCCAAACTTGGGCCGGTCCGCCCGTAGCCATCCGATCTGATTGATGCTAAACCGTCCCATGTCCTTCTTCAAACGCACGCGTATGAAAGATTCCCTGCATCTCGTTGCTTCCTTGTATCTCACCGGCTGCGCATGCTCTCCGGTCGCCATCCTCGCAGGCCGTTCTCGTCACCGGTCGTCCTCGTCGCCGGTCATCTTCGCCGGCGGTCCTCGTCGCCGGTCGTCCTCGCCGGCAGTCCTTGCAGGTCGTCCTCGTCGCCGGTCGTCCTCGCAGTCGCCGGCGGTCCTGGCAGGCCGTCCTCGTCGCCGGTCGTCCTCGCACTCGCTGGTCGTCCTGGCAGGCCGTCCTCGTCGCCGGTTGCAGCATCGAATGGTGTGACGCCGCTCGTCATAAACGGTGGTAGCAAAATCATGTACCGTAGCAAAAACAAAACACGATGGAAGCAAAAAGTGAGGCACAGATTCCAGGCAAAAACACAACACACAACACGGTGGAAGCAAAAAAAGATGAAAACGCCGGTTCCAGCAAAAACACAACATGGTGGAAGCAAAATGAGATGCCGGTTCCAGCAAAATAAAGACAGATGGTAGCAAAAATTAGGTTGGTTCCAGCAAAATCCAAAGACGGTAGTAGCAGAAATTGGGGCTGGTTGCAACAAAAATTGGAATGACAGCCATGTGGGCGTCGCTGTTGCAGCACCACCATCGGGTCGTGGTCACCATGACCTGGTCATGGTCACCACTGCCATGGGATGGCCTCTGCTAGTTACAGCTTCGCCATGGATGGTTGCAACATCCCGTGGCGCCGCCGAGGCTCGGATGCAGACGACCGCAGTTCTGCGCACCATCGGATTGCAGCTCCTGCATCGTCGGCGTACAGTGGAAGCAAAAAATCACATTGGTTCCAGCATTTCCATGTGCCGGTTGCAGCTCTGCATCGTAGAAGTGTTGTTGAAAGCACGTGAGGACTGTTGGTTCCAGCACCATAGGTTGCCGGTTCCAGCATTTCTGCATGGAATTCCAGCAATCGCGATGGCCGGATGCAACATCGTCAGTGAGCTGGAAGGCCATGGCTAACTCGTCCAGTGAGCATACTACTGGTGACCTCATCCTCTCGTCCCGAATCTATCGTCGCGATTAGAGAGGACGTGTTGGGGCAGACTCACTCATGGTGGTGAGTGATGGATGAGGACGTGTGGAGAGAGAGTAGAGAGAGGAGGAAGGTAGAACTCGAGAGAGTCCTTCCATGGCGGCTGGGGATGATGTGAACCGGAGAAAAGGGGATCGCTGTGCTGAGGGGATAAGGATGGACTGAGTGGTGGGTGAGGACGTACGAAGTGGGACCCATCAGAACAGAACGTGTGCACATGGTTAACCCGTGACCTGTAGGACGCCCGATTAGATTAGATCCTGCGCCACGCGTGAGACCGGCCGAAAGCTTCGGCCGGTCTGCCGGCCACAAACATTTCCCTTTGGAAAGCCTCGGCATCGGAAGCCGCCGCTTTTTCCGCCAACCAAACGCGTCGTGTGTACTTAGAAACACTTGAAAAGGTGGAAGCCTTTCTGATTTGCTGCTGTCGCATGTGTCTATATCCGTGTTTTAGTACTACCCGAAGCATCCTGAAGGTACGGCTTCAGAGCCAACATTCAGGTAGGATGTGTTTGGTTGTTTGGGTGAGCCGAGCCAGGCTGAGGGGAGGAAAACGAGCCACGCTGAGTAGAGACAGGACGAGCCACGCTGAGTAGAGACAGGTTGAGCGAATACAAGGTAAAAAACGACGTTTGCGTATTGTTTGGTTGCCTGTACCGGAAACTAATTTTGACCCGGTGTTTGGTTGTCTGGCTCGCATGATGATTAGCAGTTAACAACTACACTTAAACTAGAGCATCTCAGCCAACACCACGGCCTCCTTGACAAGGGACACGGCCGTCTCTCGCACGCGTCGGAGGATCTCCAGCTTCGCTGCATGCTTTTCCGCAGCACCACCGCGCTCGCCTTCATCGGCTTCTCGTTCGCAGCCGCAACGGCCCGAGCGCTAGCTAGCCCCACAAGATGGAGGGAGAGGGGATCCATGGCGCGTCGTCCGATTGCGCGACAGCCGACGGTGCCACCGGGGCGGCGAGCGGAGGAGGTGAAGGAGGGGTGGACACCGGCGCCACTGGAGCGGCGAGCGGAGGAGGCGAAGCGAGGTTGTGCCTTTGGCTGAGTTGGGAGATCAGGAAGATAAGGTGCTTGAAGGGGAGGGAGAGATTAAGAGGTGATTATGTGTAAACACATACAACCAGAGCCACACATGTTTTTTAACACGGTACAGACGGAAGCGCTCATACATACGCACATACACTCACCCCTATGAACGCACACACGCACATTCCTATCCCTATGAGCACCTTCGAGAGACCGAGCCGACATATCATCTTGAGATTTATGAAGTCACCGTAGGTGCCTCGTTCGTCGACGGAACGTCTCCTCCCACTGAAAGTGTAACACCAGAAATCCTGAAATAAATCTAGGAACAATGCGAGCACCAGGACTTGAACCCTAGTGGGCTGGGGATACCACTGTCCCTCTAAACATCCAATCACAGGTTGATTCGTGCCAGAGCCACCCATGTGCATTGTAGAGCATCGCTCGGCTTCGGCCATTTCTAGTTAGCCAGACCCAGGGGTGCTTTAAGAACCGTGTCGTGCAGATCCAATAGTGTTTGTGGGCAACCAAACAGCCCGACACCGAAAGGATCCTGCATAAGTCGGGCCTGGTTGAACTTTTGTGGGAAACCAAACGCGCCCATAGTGGTCCGCGTCTGTCTTGGCTGGCCTGACCTTCCTGCATGCGTATGGGCTCACCGTGTTCGAGGGTGACTGCTGCACCACGTGCTTGCAATCTCCCTGCATTCTGCGGCTATAGTGTCTAAGTGGGTTTATATGCGAAAATCTGCTTCTGAGCTCGGGCTCAGATGATCCCGCAATCCACACCCATGGTTTTGCATCAGGATTTGTGCTTCTTTGGGTATTTTCGGCCGTATTTTCGTTGTCTGGCGCGGCGGACTGTCAGCATTTATTGCTACGGAGCGTTGGGCTGCCGTCGCGGGACAGATAGAGGCCCGATGGCTCGTCATCTTATCTGAGCTAACGTCGTCGCGGGACAGCTCTACGATAGATGGCTCGGCACTTTACCTGAGCCACCCTGAGCCGTATGACTTAAGTTTTAACACCGACGGCGTCAACACGTCTGGAAACATAAATGCATTGGCCTACCCTCAGCCCATCTGCCCAACGCTCTCATTCACTCTCCCATTCCCCCAGTCTCTCCATTGTTCACTCATACCCAGCTCCGTCCCCATCTCCGGCGACATGTCCGCTTCGTCTACATCATCTCTCCCCGTCCCGGCGGACTGGCTGCTACCCCTGATGGCATGTCCACTCTGCGGCGACGAGGTAGTGACAGCCGTCGCAAGGAGTGGGAACCAGGTTGGGCATCGTTTCTACAAGTGCATCCGTTATGATGCAAGTATTTTTTGATCCGATCTTGTCAGGTTTTTCATATTGAATCAAGATTTCACACACATCTCACCGGACTGACATAGAAGAGTTTTCACACACATCGTTTCGATGGACGCATGTTGTCCAAGTGTCGCTACGTCAGACGCATTTACATGCCACGAAGAAATGCTTGATCAAGGGAAAAAACAAAGGCCTCAACATCCAGACGACGCTGCTAGTCCCAGTCAGCATCAGCCAAAAAAAACTGCTCAAATGAAGTTGTTTCGCTCAAACATATTCAGTAACCATGATCATGGATACAAAACGCAACTCAACAGGATGCAACCACTGTAAATCAATTTTTAGCTTTCGAAATGCCAAGGCCTCCCATATAAAATTATGTATGATTCAAATAGAGACGGCAGGAATATATTTTTTAGAAATCAAATAGTGCAGAAACAACAATAAACATGGTAACAATACTAAAGTTTACGTGTTGATATCATCTCAAACAGCAGATGGTAAATTCAGACTAGCTACCAAATTTTTCAGAAAACCATAAATCCTTATGCGTGCTCTAGGACACAACTCTAGATCGTTACAAACATGGACAGTACATCTCAGACTAGCTATCAAATTGTTCTCACAACATCCCACATTTTTTTCTGCTTGCCCAAGGAATGCAAGACCATGATATCTCATATTGGAACAGCATACAAATCCTGATCCGGGACGGACTGCAGATCAGACCTCATGAAAAAGACAAATACATATTCATCGACCGAAAATTGCACAGCTCAGCTCTCGGCAAACCCAAGAGGCCTCTTGCATGTGTTCCCCGGTGTCCTTCTATTCCGCAGTTCTGGCATCTGCCGTTTCCGTGGCTTCTTCGGAGCATCCCCTCGCTCTGGACATGTGGTCCTCTTGTGCCCCTCGCGGCGGCAAATGCTGCAGAACCTGGTACTTTTACTCAGCCCTTCGTACAGTGCCTTCTCCCTGTTGCTTGTCGGCCTGCCAGATCCTCTACGCTTTTCTGGTGCTACGAGGCACCGAAGTTCATTTCATTCATGCCTCATGCCGACAGAATTCGCAGCACTGTTGCATTGGTCAGCCTCCTGATCAACCAAAGCAGGATCGCGGTTGCAAGTTACACTGGCATTTCCATTTTCAATGAGACGATCCTTGAATGCCAATCCATCCCGCGCGACCGCCAGAGGCGCTCCACCCCGCAGCAGAGTCCAGCCCAGAATGCATGTAGTCATAGCATGCAACACTTGCGTCCCCCATTCACACAACTTCCATGGCTTTAAAATATAATGTTGCATGCCTGTACGCACGACAAATTATGCGATTTGTCGTTCTGGTATTGAACCAGGTGATCCGGTAGTATAACCCTCGCATCTCTTGTCCACCTTTTCAGGATATGGTACTTAGGGATTTCATCAAGATGTAGAATCTCCATCACCTACATTTTTTTCATAATTAACATATGTTAGTGAGACATGTCCTTTTTTTCCTTTGAAAAACTGAATTATGTACATCAATACACTTATGCAGATTACCCTCAAAGCATGGCAGCAAAGCATTGATTTCCTGTGTGCTCAAATTGACCACATTCGCACGTGAACATTGATTTGTCTTCGTTAACTGTCACCTCTTACTCCACTCTACTCCACTTCTCTCTCTTTGCTGCATTATTGTGAGTTGTGATGTATTTCCTCATCCTTTCTACTTCAGTCACATTGTATGCAGTTCCTTCTATTAGGAGGCGGCCAAATTCCTCAAACATATTCCTTGTATATATTTTGCTGGCATGGCGCTCTATCGCAAGGTTAGCCTGCCGCACGGCGCCTCCCTGACATAATGAAAGTATTAAAATAGATTTCTGTTTTTTACTGATTTCTGCTCAAGAACTGATCTTTTTTTTCCCGCAAAAAAAAGATCAATTCTTGAGCAGAAATCAGTAAAAAACAGAAATCTATTTTCTTGAATGGGAGCAACATATTTACAATCATTGTCCTCTTCTCCTCGTAGCTTTCATTGCGCTCACGGTCAAACTGAAGCCTCATGTATTGCCGGACAAAAACATGCATCGGGCTTGCGGGGGGCATGTATGACTTCAGCATATGGTTTGCACTCTCACTCCTCTGTGTACTTGTCATTTTTTGCACAAAACACACCTCTTAAATATGGTTTTGCCCATTTATGTCTTGTCTCATATATTTGGGTCATATAGTTAGGCCCCCTCAAGTTGTACTTATCAAGCAGCGCGTCCCAGGCTGTTTCAAATTCCTCCTCAGCTAACATGTGGTTAACAACTTTGTGAAATTCAGCTTGGAAATCACACTTTTTCATGTAAAACAGCCCCAGTGTTTCCTTCGCCTTCTTGAGAACATGCCACTTGCACCAACGGTGGACAGTGTTTGGATAAATTTTCTTGATCGCAACCTCCATTGCTCTGCATTGGTCTGAGCAACCAAAAAACAGTTTCAATCAGAACCATAATTCAAGACTTATTTCCTTGCATGTTTTTATGTCATAATTCATTACTGCGTCCAGTGCAATTTGAAGGGATCTACAATAAAATATGTACAAGCAAGGGACATTTTTAGTGTTCAAATCAATCACCTGTTAGTATTGTTTTTGGTGCAGGTCCGCCCATCATGCGAATGAATTCTGAAAACACGCCATTCGAAGCTCTCTTCCTGCTCGTCGCGCATCAACACTCCTGCCAGGATGATACTCTGGTAGTGATTGTTAACTCCAACAAATAGACCGAATGGCATGTCGTACAGATTTGTCCTGTATGTGGTGTCGAATGTGACCACGTCACCAAAGAACTTGTACTGCATCCTGCTGCTCCCATTAGCCCACATGAGATTCTTCACCTTGTTGTCTTTCTCGGCGAGCACCACAAAGGAGAATCCAGGGTCACTCGACCGAATGTAGGCAAACACCTATAGTGTCTTCCGTACATCATCTTCAACCTGCTCACGACTAATCTTCTCACAAATGTTCCTCAGTGTCCTTTTAGTGAAAGGCACCTTCTCAACCGAACCAAAGAAGCTCCCAATTATGATGTATACATTGCCAAGGTTGACGTTGTTCTCCCTCAACTGCCTTATTAAATCTTTGGTATAGACGTCTATGTGTTTATGAGATGGCTAGTGCACTTTCTCTCCCATTGTAAGCGACATCGAATGATTGTGGCTCGCCCGGTGCTCTGTTATGTACCAACTGTTGTCTGATGCACGTAACAGTCTGATCAGAGCCGGGCACTCGCACATGCACGATCTGCTGTTTTCAGCGTCTGGTTTCCCCTGCATACAATACAACAGAGCTAGTCAAAGAATATCCCAGCAATTTGATATGTACAACCAAATTCACTTTGTACACTTATTTTTCATTTTAATCTGAAACTGAAAGGCCGCTCACCGAACAACCACAAACTATCTCCTGTATGCTTTTGGTTCTCTCGGCGTTCAGCCTGCTTTTTCCATATCTTATCCCAAAACAGATTTCCCAAGAATACAAGTTGTAGAAATCATACGCCTCGCCCAGTGAATCAAAACTAAGACCTAGCTCAGGTCGGACCACATTCTTGTCAGGTTGCTCAGCGTATTTACGCATTGACAGCTCCAGGGCGCTCATCCTTGATGGACAGGGCACACGGTCCGGTGGCACACTCCCGAGACGAAGCCTGCAGCGAGTTGCAAGCCCCACAATTTACATGCTGGATGTCTATGAGATTATCAAACAAACTGATTGTCACGAACAAATGTCAGAGAACCATCTCTCCCTGTATAGTCTTGCAAAGCACAGTTTTTCAACCTCCCTGTGTCATCATATTATTTTCTAATCTAAAAAAGGCAAAGCCTAGTTCGTCTAGAAACAAAAAACACAAAAACCAATTTTGACAGTTCACACCCGTACCATCAATTTTTACATGTCTGCATTTCTATGTGAGAGAAGATTGGTGAAACAAGT